GTACAGATCAACATCTCACACTGTATACAAATGGGTCAAAATGGGTACATGATTTACACATAAAGGGTGATACCTTGAGCAAATTAAGAGAACATGGAATAGTTTATCTGACAAATTTATAGATAAGGGAAGAATTTAGTAAAAAAAAAAGAAGGTATTGCTAGATTGATTATATAAAATTAAAAAGTTTTTGCACAAACAAAAACAAGACAACCAAAATTATAAGGAAAGCAGAAAACTGGGGGAAAATTTTGCAACAAGTTCCTCTGATAAAGGCCTCATTTCTCAAATATATAGAGAACTGAATGCAAATTAAAACAACTGTGAGGTACCACTTCACACCTAACAGAGTGATTAATATGACAAAAAAGGAAAATGTTGGATGTTGGAGGGGATGTGGGAAAACTAAGACATTAATACACTGTTGGTGGATCCAATCATTCTAAAGAACAATTTAGAACTATGCCCAAAGGGCTATAAAACTGTGCATACCCTTTGATCCTGCAATACTGCTAGGTCTATATTTGAAAGACATCCAAAAAAGAGAAAAGGGGGCAGCTAGGTGGTGCAGTGGATAGAGCACTGGCCCTGAAGACAGGAGGGCCTGAGTTCAAATCCAGCCTCAGACCAAACACTTGACACTTACTAGCTGTGTGACCCTGGACAAGTCACTTAACCCCAATTGCCTAAAAATAAAAAAAAAGAAAGAAACAAAAAAGAGAAAAGGACCTATTTGTACAAAAAATTTATAGCAACTATTTTTGTGGTAGCTAAGAACTGGAAATTAAAGGGTTGCCAATGAATTGGGGAATGGCTAAATAAGCTGCAGTATATAATTGTAATGGAATATTATTGTGCCATAAGAAATGACAAGCAAGATGATTTTCGAAAAACCTGGGAAGACTTACACCATAATGAAATGAATAGACCAGAAGAATGTTGTACACAGTAACAGTAATATTGCTTGATGGAGGACTATGAATGACTTAACTATTTTCAGCAATACAATGATCCAATATAATCCCAAAGGATTAATAATGAAGCATACTATCTACCTCTAGAGAAAGAACTTATATTGATTGAATACAGATGAAACATACTGTTTTTTTCATTTTCTTTCATTTTTTTTCTTTTATTCTAGTCTTTTTGTGCAAAATGACAAATTTGGAAATATTTTACATGATTATACATATGTAACCTATATCTGTTTACTTTCTCAGAGAGGGTGGAGGAGACATAGATAGGTAGGGATAGAATTTGCACCTCAAAACTTTAAATAAATGTTAAAAAATTGGAAAAAAAAGTTTTGCTTCTGACTTTTAACTCCCCCATTCCACTCTTCCTTCTATCAGTACCCCTTTCTCTTGTCCCCTTCCTCTCCTATTTACTGTATGGTAAGATAGATTTCTATACCATATTGAGTGTATATTATTCCCTCTTTGACTAGTTCTGATGAGAATAAGGTTCATTCACTCTTCTCCACCTCCCACATTTTTCCTTCTATTGTAAAAGCTCTTTCTCACCTCTGTTATGTGAGATAATTTACTCCTTTCTACATCTCCTTTCCCCTTCTCCCAGTGCATTCCTCTTTTTCACCTCTTAATTTTATTTTTTAGATAATTATCCTAATATATTCAACTCACACCTGTGCCCACTGTCTATGTATACTCCTTCTAACTGCTCTAGTAATGAGAAAAATTTTAGGAGTTTCATGTATCATTTTGCCATGTAGAAATGTAAACAGTTTAATCTTACTGAAATCCTTATGATTTTTCTTTCCTGTTTACCTTTTTATTTTTCTCTTGAATTTGTATTTAAAAGTCAAATTTCTATTCAGCTCTTTTTTATCAGGAATCCTTGAAAATTTTTTATTTATTGAATGCTCATTCTGCACTCACCCAAAGATTATACTCAGTTTTGCTGGGTTTCTTGGTTGTAATCCTAGTTCTTTTGCCCTCTGGAATATCATATTCCAGGCCCTCTGATCCTTTATTGTAGAAAATGCTATATCTTATGTGATCCTGACTGCGACTTCATGATATTTGAATTATTTCTTTTTGACTGTATGAAAATTTTTTTCCTTGACTTGAGAGCTCTGGAATTTGGTTATAAAAATTTGAAATATTTTTCAGGAGGTGATCAGCAGATTCTTTCAATTTCTATTTTGCTTTCTGGTTCTAGAATATCAGAGCAGTTTTCCTTGATAATTTCTTGAAAGATGATGTCTAAGTTTTTTTTTTTTAATCATGGCTTTCCCATAGTCTAATAATTCTTAAATTATCTCTCCTGGATCTATTTTCCAGGTCAGTTGTTTTTTCAGTATTTCACATTTTTTTCTATTTTTTCATTCTTTTGATTTTGTTTTCTTGATGTCTCATAAAGTCATTACCTTCCACTTCCCCAATTCTAATTTTTAAGGAATTACTATCTCTGGTGAGCTTTTTTATCTCCTTGTCCATTTGGCCAATTTCACTTTTTAAGGAGTTATTTTCTTCAGTGAAGTTTTGTACCTCTTTTCCCATTTGGCCAGCTCTGCTTTTTAAGGAGTTCTTCTCTTCAGTAGATTTTTGCATATTTCTTTTTCCATTTGGCCAATTCTGCATTTCAAGCCAATTTTCTCTTCATTGGATTTTTATACCTCTTTTACCATTTAGCCTATTCTGTTTTTTAAGGTATATTTTTTCTTCAGTGTTCTTTTATGCTTCCTTTACCAAGCTGATGACTCTTTTTTCATGATTTTCTTGCATCCCTCTTATTTTTCTTCTCAATTTTTTTCTTCTACCTCTCTTACTTGATTGTAAAAATCCTTTTTAAGTTCTTCCCTGGCCTGAGACCAATTCATTTTTTTCTTGGAGACTTTGAATGTAGCAGTTTTGACTTTATTGCCTTCTTTTGAGTTTGTGTTTTAATCTTCTCTGTCACTTTTGAATAGTTAAGATGTTTTTCTTTTATTTTCTCATTCTCCAGACTATTTCTTGACTGCTAATTCTATGCTAAAGTGGGGTTCTCCTTCTGGAGGGGGCACTGTCTCAAGCTTCAGGTTTTTCATGCAGCTATTTCAGAAGTAATTCTGGGGACCTATCAATTTTTGGTTCTTCAAAGGTGGTATGATCTAGGGAGAGCTGCATTTACTACTCTTCTGGCCTGTGCTCTGGTCTGTGAGCTACCACAAGTACTCTTTTCCACTCTGGAACTGTGACCAAAGTCTCAGCTGCCCTGGGGCCAAAAGCTCTGGTGTGCTAGTATTCCTCCTTGCTCTGGACTAAGACCCAGGCTTGCAATCCACATGTAAATATAAGCAATGCAACAGAGTTCTGTCCCTGGTGCCAGCAAAGCTCTCAAGACCCTAGGGAATGTCCTTGCTAATTACTATTAATTTCCATGATGCCTGAGTTTTACCTGCTTTTATTTTCTTGTGGACTACTTTTTATTGTCTTATGGATTACTTTGAATTGAGAACTGTTGGATTTTTTTTAAATTAAAGAAATTATTTAATGGGAGGTAAGCCTTCATGGTTGGGGGAAGGTGTTAAAAGTTCTTTCAGGGGCAGCTAGGTGGCACAGTGGCTAGAGCACTGTGCCTGAATTCAGGAGGACCTGAGTTCAAATCTGGCCTCAGACACATAACACTTACTAGCTGTGTGACCCTGGGCAAGTCACTTAACCCTATTGCCTAACCAAAAAAAAAAAGTTCTTTCATGGGGGCATGGTATCAAAGTCCAGAAATTCTGAAGCAAAGATAAGAGGAAAATGAAAATTGGCCTGCCTGTGCTCCTTCCAAAAAGAGAGGCCTCAGGAAGAACTTACAAATGGAAGAAAGGGCCTGACATAGCAGAGGGATTTTCTAATATAAGAAGGCTACAGGGGCTAATGGATGTTCCAGGGTGAGAAGGTCATAGGCACTGGGCAGGATTCCAGAATGAGACTGCAGCTAGGCCATGATGTTGAGGTCCAGAAAGTCAGAAGCACAGCTTAGAGAGCAATAAAGATTGGCTGGCCTGGGTGTCTCCTTAAATAGGGGCAATGAAAGGAACTCATCAATAAAAGAAGGGGGACAGTATGGCAGAGGGATATTCAAGTATGAGGAAGCCCTAAGTACTGAAGGAGATTCTAGGGTGAGATGGCAGTTGAAGCATGGGATGAGGTCCAAACAATCAGAATACAAGTCTCATGCCATATGTTGTGATATATAATACAATTATATACAGTAATCATATGTGTAGGTTGCATGCAGAAACACAACACATGCACACATCATAATAGTATATGCAAAATAATAATGTTCTATTTTAAGGGTACTCATTGAAGAAGTGTTTCCTTAGTTGCTTCTGATGTTTAGAAAGTTATACAAAGATACAATGTCTACCATAGACTCTGGAGACAGAGGACTCTGGAGGTAGTGGTCATGGTATATATTACAGGGAGACTATAGCCCCCCAAAAGGACTCATTTGTTGCTACCTGAGTTAATTTCTACTTCATGGTACAGTAAAAGCAAATATGGGCACTGATTTCTCATTCTCCTCCTCATGTTTAGTCATTTTAAGTTGAGCATTTTGTACTTAGATAAGAAACATTAAGTGTTTAATCTGATCTAACAGCCCAGTCAACAGATAAGACCAACAGTTCTAAAATTTATTCTTGCTCTTATATAACATCACTGAGTGCCAAAGATAATGTCTTTTATTGAAATGATGGTACGCATGATAATTTTTAAAAAAAATCCCTACATGAGCACAAAGTTCTAAGGAGAATAGTCTATCACTTGGCAGAATTAAGTAATAGCTGGGAAATGTTGAGTCAGTGTGTGTGTGTGTGTGTGTGTGTGTATGTGTGCACATGCAGGAGAAGTGGGGAAATGGATTTGGGGGAAGGGATAGATGCACTGCCAAGTCCTCTGAGTAAGCCAGCCCTATGAGGCTATTATATAAAGGAACCTGACCTGGTCAGCGTCTTTCTTCATTCATATTAACGCCCCTATCTACTCCCCATCAGAGAAGAAGAAATTTTTCTTACACGGATGAAACTTCTACTTCTGACCATTGGCCTGTGTGTGGTCAATGCAGTTACCCCTAATAATTGGCCCCGTTTAAGCTCTGAGTTCAAACCTGAACAGGTACCATCACGCCAAGCTCTGTTGGTGTTCATTTGTGAGATGGAGGGTTTAAGTATGGAATAGAAGACTATGGTAATTGTATCCTTACCCTTTCTTTCTGGTACACTTTCTGTTTCTCTTTTCTCCATTTCTTTCACCTTTCTGTCTTCCGTTCCTTCAAATTCATTCTCCTTCCTTTACTTCACTGCAGAAAGTGGCTGTATTACTGAGAAGTTGGTAGGCAGGTGAAGTAGTTGGTGTATCCATGACATCAGCCTTTATCAACTGATGGCTCTCATATTCTATGGATCTGGTGACCCAACCCTTAGCTGCTACTACAGATCATTCTTGGTCATTGCTGGCCATAGGCAAAGTTAGGTCTTTGCCTTCCTGCCAAGCCAGTCTTTTTCCTTATTGACTCCTAGAATGTTTTGGCACCTGCTTTATCCATTCTTGGAATTTTGTCTTTAAAAAATTGAAAGACAATTTAAATAATTATTATAGACAAATAAATGCCTGTCTCTATGCCTGTATCAGAATGACAACCAGTGTTAAAGGAGATGGACAACTTTTTAATATCATCTCGCTGATGTGTCCTTCATGTCTCTCTTTAGATCAATGGGAAGTGGTTCTCCATTGCAGTGGTATCTAACAAACGAGAAGAGACAACTCCAAGTGGACCAAGAAGGTTTCAAATTGACTCCTTCCAAGCCAAAAAGAATGGAGAGATTAAGGCAATTACTTACACCAAGTGAGTAATTTGTACATTTTAACAGAATCATGTGTTATTGTTCCATCTTTGAACTAATTATTTACTAATTTTAACAGCATTTAGACTTGAGAGAGACCTTAAAGATTATATAATCCTACCTACTCATTTTCAAAATAAAAACTTGAGGCCCATAGAGGTTAAATCAGTTTGGGAAGATTATTAAGACAATAAGTAGCAGAAATAAGATTTTCTGATCCCCCAACTTTTTAAGTTCAAAACTCTTTCACAATGCCACACTGAAGCACAGATAGCTATCAATCAATCAGTCATTTTCTTGTGGTCTACTTTTTATTGTCTTATGGATTACTTTGAATTGAGAACTGTTGGATTTTTTTTAAATTAAAGAAATTATTTAATGGGAGGTAAGCCTTCATGGTCAACAATCAGTCAACAAACTTTTATTAAGTGCCTACTTCATGCCAAGTACTATGCAAAGTGATTGGATTTAAAGACTCAATGATTAAGGCCTGACCTCAAGATGTTTACATTTTCATGAAGTGAACATGTATACATGTAAGTACATACAAAATGGACAAAATAAATTCAAGGTAAATATCAAGTAGTTGAGGAGGGTGAGGCACTAACACCTGGGGAGTAGGACAATGAGGAAAGACTTCATCTAGGAAGTGGCACTTGAATTAAGTTGTGAAGGAAATTAGAGATTTGTAAAGGTGGAGAGGAGGAAGGGAGTGTATTCCGAACATGAGTGACAAACTGGAAGAAGGAAAAGAGCTGGGGAATGGAACTATTCTGTAGAAGGCACCCTCAAGTAAACTAGTTTAGATAATCTGTAGAATTAACAAAGGAGAATAATTTGTAATAAGTCTAGAAAGGTAGACTAGTTGCAGATCGTGAAAGGCTTTAAATGTCAAGCAGTGGTGTTTTTAGTTTATATTACAGGCAATAGAGAGCCACTGAAGCTTCTTGAATATGACAGTGACATGGCCAAACCCGTGCTTTAAGAATTTTACTTTGGCAGCTGCGTGGAGTATGTATTAGAGAGGGTAAAGGCTAGAGACAGGTAACCCAATCAATAGGGTATTGCATTAGATTAGGAGAAGTGATAAATGTTTGAAATCAGATGGTGGTTGTGTGAGTGGATAGAAGGGAAGGGATGTTGCAGAGGGAGAATCAAGTCTTGGAAACTGATAGGATAAGGAACATTGGGCTTGGATATTGGAAAATTGAATGGTTATAAAGAATAACAACTTAGTTAAACATTAGGTGAGCCAATACAAAATAAGACTAATCCTAAGGGATATCACATCCCACTCCTCAAAACCACACCGTCAAGTCCTACTGCATCTGCCTTTGCCATATGCCATTCTTTCCTATTAAGGCAAAGGGATTCTAAGTCACTGAATGCTGGACCTATCTCAAGCTTCTAGAGCCATCTGTATACACTCTAGTTACCTAAGACTTCTTTCTGTTACTCTTCTCTTCCAAAGGAGAGAAGCTGATCATTTTCAAGGAAAGTTATAAAAAATGAATTCATGTTGCTGCTTATGGATTAGTTGGAGGGAGACTGAAGGCAGAGATGTAGAGTAGGAGGCTATTACAATGGTACAGGTAAGAAGTGTGGAGGGCCGGAAGTAGGGCAGAGACTATGTAAGTGGTGAAAAGGATATTATGGAGATAGAAACAATGACATTTGATAAATATTTGGATAGGTGGATGAATCAGAGTGAAGGCTCAAGGATGACACAAGTTGTTAATCTAAGTGACTCAAGTAATGCTTGATATTAATAGGGAAGTTTGGAAGAGGTTCAGAGAAAAAAAACCAATTGAGTTCTTTTTGGAAATGTTGAATTTGAGAGGTTTATTGGACGTTCAGTTCTAGATGTCCATGATTACGCATTATATTATGCTGTCTATGATCCAGGATTTAAGACTTCAGGAAAGCTGAATATATAGATCTCTAAGTGATCTTCACAGAGATGATCATTAAACCCATGAGAGCTGATGAAGTTAGCAATGGAAAGAAGATAGAGAGAGAAGAGAAGATGACCTAGCACAGACTCATGATTAGCACGTGTGACAGGTTCAGCTAAACAGACTGAGAAGGAGTGATTGGAAACATTGAAGGACGACCAATAAATAGCAGGGTTAGAAAAATCCAGAGAAGAGAAGGAAATCAGGAGAAAGTGTTTAATAAAGTCAAATGCTGCAGAGAAATAAAAAAGAATGAGCATTGAGAAAAGGCTATCAGATTTGGCAATTAGGAGCTCATTGGTAAGATGTGAATTGTAATTTTATTGAATAGGCTATAATACATATGAATCACTTAAAGTTCATGGACCAAAACACAAAAAAAATATTAATTTTATTTTCCAGTTGGAATAATATATGTGAACAAGCTAATATCACACTCACTGAAACCAAGATCCCTTGCCAATACAAAGTTAATGGTAAGTATCATTTAGGTATATTGTTGTTTTTCACCATGGAATAAAAAAAAATCAAATATGCTGAATGGCTCCTGCCTTACATGATTATAATAGCAATAATATAAGCTCATTTTACTTTTACACACACACACACACACACACACACAGAGTCAGTTATAAACTTTTTAACTATTTAAATAAATAGACAAAATAAAGAATCAAATCATGCATGGTCTATCAACTCCAAACTATAAAGAGTTAGCTAAAAGGAAAACCCAACAAAATAATAACATTTTATTTGTATCTCTGTTCCTTTCTAATATCTTCTTCTTTTTTTCTTTTTGTTTTTTGTTTTTTTTTTGCTTAGGCAGTTGGGGTTAAGTGCCTTGCCTGTGGTCACACTGCTAGTAAATGTCAAGTGTTTGGTCTGAGGCCGGATTTGAACTCAGGTCCTCCTGACTTCAGGGCCAGTGCTCTATCCACTGCGCCACCTAACTGGTCCCCTAATATCTTCTTAATGTTTATTTACCAGATACTGTTACTATCATTTTCTTTAGAAAACTATAGTAATTATATTTATATACTCAGTATATGTATAATTTTTCTGTCTCAGATTACTTTGCATCATTTCTTATAAGTCCTTCCATTTTTTTTTTTTTTGCATTCTGCATATTTGTCTTTTTAAAGGACAGTATTTCATTAAAAGACTGGAGTTCACATCCTAGTTTTACTACTTATTACCTGTATTTCTTAAGCAAATACATCTATCTGGGCCTTAGTTTCTTCATTTGTCAAATGAGGGGGTTAGACTAGCTGTTTTCTAAGGTCCCTTTCATTCCTAAGTGCCATGGTCCTTCACTGACATGCCACAATTTGTTCAACTGTTTACAAACTATCAGACTTACAGGCTGATTCTTGTTTTCCTGAACTCATGTTTCTAGAGGTATCCTTCAAAATGATCAGCTTCCTTTTGGAGTATTAAGTAGCCATGGCTAAAGATTTGGATTTTTTCCAATCCTGGAGTCTGTATGTGTTGAAACAGGACAAGACTAGAGTCCTATTATACTAAGGAATGAATCATATGAAAAAATGGCCTTTCACCACCCCCACCTTGGATTCCTTGCTCTTGCTGCTCCCTTATTTGAGGAAGCAGATTCATATCCTGCCTACCTTCACAGGCTGAAAAAGATGTAGGGAACTGTTTCTGGTATATATTGCAGAAGCATATATCATGCAATTTTTTAATTATTCAAAAATATTTTAAAATTGATGTTGAAAATTAGAAAGATTGTAGAGCAATGTCAAGAGTTGGTCTTATTGGGGGCCTTGGATATACACAAAGGAAAATCAAGCCAATAAAATTTTGATATCATTTATAGCTAGAAAGATTGCCACAGACCAATAAGTCCAACTATTTTACTTTACTCTTACTTTTCCTCAGGTGGAAAGTATGATCCAGAGAGGTCAGGTGATTTGAAGTTGATATAAAAGCTGGAACTCACATCTGTGTTTCTTGGCTACCAGTCCAGTGCTTTTTCTACTTTACTATGATCTGGACATTAAGTGCCCATAATGACCTCTATGAAGCAAGCTTCTTTATATTGATGATAGCAGAGATTACCATGAATCATCTGTTTAGATACTTTGCAATGACAGCTAGGTTAGCATACCTGGGCACAGCAGGCATGTAGCTAGGCTCTTTCTATACCCTTAATGGGAATGACTAGTTGGAGAAAATGCGAAGAACATGGTATCATCCGTGCATACACAAGAGAATCCTTGATAACAAGTTGAGCATTCATTCGTTCATTTTTTTCATAAATGCGTACATGCATTGATGCAGTAAGCATCCATTAAATTACTATGTGTCTAGACCTGTACTAGAAATTGCATGAAATACAAAGCAGTATAAGATAGAGTTCCTGTTCTCATGAAACCATTCTCAAAGGGACATTCAGTTAAGGGAAGTATAGCAGAGAAGGGATAGGTCTGGGATGACCTTAATGAATAGTATTCCTTTTCTTTGGACTCATGAAGATAATGTTGACTGGGGTCCTCTCTTAAGGTGTGAGTGAAACTGAATAGTCTCACAGTTTCTCTAATGGAGGTTCCATTTTTCCTTCATCTCCATGTGGAACCAACTGTTAAGTGTAAGTTGTTACTTATAGAAGTCACATGGACCCTGGTTCTTTACCGAGCGCTTCCTCACCTGTATGGGTATGATGTGAGTGTCTGTTCCTGTCTCTCCTTAGTGGGTCTGTCTCCTTTTAAAAGCTAAATGCAAGGGTCAATTCAAATATGGGAACTCAATTTTCAATTTGATATCAGCTTGCCATTCCTTTCTGTTACTGTCCAAGTATAGGCCACATGAGTAGAGGAAATGAAGAAAAAAGACAAGAAAAATCACACTCTCTTGAGCGATTTCAACACAAGATGGGTGAAAGGTGATTCCTTAGAGTTCATGTGAGGGCATGCTTCTGATATTATTATTAAAGCAAAGTGATTGATGCTTATGCTCTTGGCTAGGACATTAATATTCATTCAACAAACATGTCTTAATCATCTACTGTGTGCAAAAGACTGAAGGACACATAGTCATGTCTCTTGCCTTGAATAGGAAGGAGAAGCTTCACATTGCCACCACTTTCCTTTCACAGATCTTGAAGATAACTACTTTCTCATGGAAGATACTGACTATACAAACTTCTTAATTGTGTATTGTCAAATTGGGAAGAATGGGATATGGGAACTATTTGGTAAGTGTTTTGTCAACCTCAAAAGCAATACTTGCTGCTCTCTTCATTTATTTCTATGTATCACTTCTTAATAATCTAAATGTTTTCTTTTTTATGAAAGTCATAAAAGGCAGACCCTCTAATACTATAATTTGAGGCCAATTATTACTAGATAATGTCTTTTGGTAAGAACCCTAAATTCCTACTCTTACCTCAAATGCTATTTCTGTGTAATGTGGTTTTCCTCTTTAAAACCTTTAGCCTACATTTGTTCCTATGAAATCTTTTGTCTGCCTAATAACCTCACTATATTCAGTGAGCATGGTCTTTATTCTTTTACATAGGGCATGAACACAAATAGAAAATATAATATAACTCATGGCTGATACCATGTGGTACATTTATGAACTTCACTCATCCTAAGGAATTATTCAATCTCATTGATACTTATCTAAGATAACTGTCATGTCATCAATTGAATATTACTAACTTTCTCTACTCTCTGGAAGTCACTGGATTTGGAGTTAGAAAATATAGTCTAAAATACCCAAACTCTTACTTAATGCCCATGCAACCTTGAATAAATCATTTTACTTCTCTGAGGGGTCAATTTTCTCTTCTGTAAATGGTGAATATGGAAGGAGTAACTGGCATTGAACTAGATAATTTCTAATCTTTCTTCTAGCTCTTAATTCCTAGGAATCTATAAATAGAAGTCATGGGGCAACCTTCTCTAAGGCAATGAGCCAACCACAGAGAATGATAAAGCCTCACAGATTCCCAGCCAACTCATTCATTTGTCTATCTTCTTGGTTTCAGGAAGAAACAAATATATATCCAGAGTATTTAAAAAGAAGTTTGAGAATAAAATCATGTCTCGTGGTTTGCAAAAACAGGATATTTCTTACTTCAGGGAAAAAGGTAACCCTTTAATTTTTCTTCAGTCCAAATTTCCCCCTTGACATTAAAAATGAAATTAAGCTTAATTAATTTTTTACCTTCTCTTTTTAATTACTTCCTGATGATGCTCCTTGAATTGAAAATCATTTTTTTCTTGAAAAAAAATGAGCCCCTCAAATCCCTGTACCTACTCCACTCCATTTTCAGACTCATTGGATTAACTTAAATCTTTTTATACCCCTCTTTAGAGAGATGCCCCAACGGAGTCATAAAGTGAGTGAGCATATTGCTATTTTTGCATTTCTGTCTAACATTGCTGGAGAATGGGGAGCATTAAAATTTCATCAGGTTACTGGTCAGAATTTGACATGATTAGTTTGGGTGTACTATTTTGCTATAGAACAGATCACATAGATTTATATTTATTTCATGAATACAAAGGATGACACAAGCTCATAAACTTTTATTAATAATTTGGCTATTACAGTGCAACAGTAATAGTTTAGAAAGACATTAAGACTTATAATATGCAGACCTGAGCTCTAATCCTGATATCAACTGTTGTGTGACCTTGGACAAGTAATAATAATAACAGTAACTAACATTTATATAGCACTTACTATTTGCTAGACACTGTGCTAATCACTTTACAAATATTATCTTATTTGATCTTAACAACAGCCTTGGGAGGTAGGTGCTATTATTATCCCCATTTTACAGTTGAGGAAACTGAGGTAAACAAAGGTGAAGTGACTTGCCCAGGATCATACAGGTAGAATTATTTCTAAGGTTCCCCTCCTCTAAACTCATATGATTAAGTTATTTATAGAAGCAATGTGGTATAGTTGGGGTAAAAAAAACAAACAAAAAAACCCCATCAAAAGTGCTAGACAGATTCTAGTCAGAACACATTGATTCTAGTCCTATTTCTGCTAACTAAATCACTGTGTTAACTTGGGTAAATTATTTCCTCTCTTGGGCCTTCAGGTCCACATCTGTAAAATGAAAGCTTTACAGACTAGATTTCCTCTAAGGTCTTTTCTAACTTTAAAAATCCTATTATTCTAATGGAGGAGGGAAGAAAGGGATTCATATGCCAATTTTATTCCCTTGAGATGTTAATCAACAGCATGGACTGATTCCCACTTTATCTACAGCCCTGTATTAGGCACTAGGTTTGATTAAAGACAATAGGACAAAGTCCCAGCCTTTATGAAATTTGCAATCTAGTTAGAGAGACAACATGGAGATGATAAAGTAAAATCAAAGCACAAATATTTCTCAGAAAGTGTAGGAGAATATCTATAGCTTGGACTTTCATTTCCCATTCCTTGTCTTATTCCTCATTTCCAAGTCCTAACTTTGAGATTCATATTTTATAGGGACTCTAAGAACTGACCTTTCAGCAGATTCCCTCCACTTGACTTCAAGTTCATTGATTCACTCAAGCCCAGTTATACTTCTCCCATTCTTTTTTTTTTTTATCACATTTGTGCTTTTGGTTCAGGGGCTACAAGGTTTTGAGCAATGTTTAATTAATAAATTTTGCAAAAACAGCTCTGTGTGTCTTTCAATCTCTCAAGTTTTTGTGGGATAAACAAGGTGCAAAAGTAAGAAAATTAATTGTGGTAATTTTGGTCACCAGGCTAGAAAACTCACTTTTCTTTCTAAGTTGGGACATCTATTTCAGATTTATTTGTTGGAGTTTAGACATAATTGTGGGGGCAGTCTAAAGAACATTTTGGAAGACTGATCTATTTTCCATAATCCAAACAGACTATTCTACTCACATGTGGATTGTAAAGAAAATTAGCTCCACATTCATATTTTGGTGTGAGGTCAGACAGATCTTTGTTATTTAAAGTCATAATCAACCCTAAAGAAGGAGGGCTACTTCAACTTGAAGTATCCTAGTCTGTTGCAGCAAATTTGGAGCTTAGAAACAAAGCAATGCCAAAAGCAATAGGTCTTTATCACAGATGCACTTTAGCTCTTACAAGGGAAGGCAGAAGGCTGAACTTGCAAAATCTAAGGACCGTAATATGTCGGAATACAGACAAGAATGAAGGATTTGGGGCAAAGCTAATGCTGGATTTAATTTTTCAAGAGGTTATCATCAGATGTCAGAAACAACATTCCTCAGGTCATAGCAAGAGAAGGAAAGGAGTCAAGGAGAACCTGTGAGAACCCATCCTCAGGACCTGGCAATTCAGTTCATATATGTGACTCTTCTTAGTTTGGTGAATGGATCTCTATCTTCTATGTCAGGGTAGCTCAATTATGAAGGTGAAGACCAGGATTTTTATAGAAAGGGATAAGATCTTGCTCAGGTACATCTGATTTGTTTTCCATTTCTCATGTCATAGGCAGACAGATATTGGGATTGATCAGTCAGGTCCCCACCCTTGAAGCATGGTAAGTGGAATGTATTAGCATGGTATTTTCTAATTACCAAAGATTCGAGTAAATGGAAGGAGGTAAGCATTAGACAGGAAGAAAGCTGAGTCTAGAGTAGAGATGTTGTAAAGAAACCATAAAGATCTCAGAAACTAGATGACTTCTATTCTACCAGTACAAATCTTCATATGAATTGATAATTAAAACCATTTTGCAAGACTATATACTTAAATGCACCTGGGCTTTTATTCACCTATAGCATATCCTTTTAACTCAAATCCAAAGAATTTTTTTTCCTGAGGGCTTTTCAAAGTGAGAATATACTTGTGTCAAGTACCTACTGTATTCTATTAAACAAATTCAATTAAACAAACATTTATTAAGCACTTATCACACAGAAAATGAAAGATAAACACTCCCCCACCTCAACCTTTATTTTGCAGTTGATAATCTGTATTAATAAGATGGACTAACTGATCACTATTTAAGTATGTATTACAAGGTTCTGGAAATTGATATATGACATTAAGACTTAAGGTCAGGGGGCAGCTAGGTGGTGCAATGGATAGAGCACTGGCCCTGGAGTCAGGAGGACCTGAGTGCAAATCTGGCCTCAGACACATAATACTCACTAGCTGTGTGACTCTGGGCAAGTCACTTAACCCCAATTGCCTCACAAAAAAAATTTAAACAAAAGAGACTTAAGATCATAAGGTTAGAGATGTTTATTGAAAGATATATAAGCACAAAAGAAAATCAACATCCTCAAGATCTATTCCTTCCATCTCTGAGGTAGCAACTATATTCAACAAGGTTGGTTCCCAGTCCTAGCTTCTTGCACTCTGGAGTTTACTGTAGGTCCCACTAATCAAATAAATGCTTCAGCAGGTCATTTCCTCAATGTTAAACCAAACTCAATATTCAGTCCCCTCTAGAACACAGGGTACTTTATACTCCTTATGAACTAGGTAGAAAAATACTGACAGTTGGAATTTTTAACTTCAATTTCATTATGTTGTCCTCCCAAAATAGACTTGTAGGATATTTCTGGGAGATATTAGAACTCAAGGAAATAGATACCCAAGAAGCAGAAATTTAGAGAGAGATGTGGAGAGAGAGCAGAAGCCCACAATGAATAGCCTGCTGGTGATTATGTAAGTCTCAATTCAGAGAGACAGGACGTAGTTATTAAATATATACCTGAGAAAGCATCCCTAGGATAGACATATGAAGAAACCATCAGAGCTATACATATAAGTACATATTCACAGATGTACATACGCATAAAATCCAAATACTATCTAATTAAATTGACCCTCTCAACTCTACCTTCCATCACATCTCTCCAAATACTTCTCAAACATAAAAGTCAGAGCTTACCTTGCCTGTGCCTGTCTTCTGAGCAGCCATTTCATCACACTCCAGGCACTCCGGACATTTTCTCTGTTCACCTATAGCTCCATAGGACTTGCCTTGCCCTCTCCTGGGAACTCTTCCTGCTCTCCTCCCCCCTCTACTTTCCAGCCACACACAACTACCTTACCCTGGGATAGCTCCACCAGAGGCATATTTCTACGGACAATGATAGCCAATCTGAACTCATCCGTCAGCAATTAACATACTTCAACCCCATCATGCTCATTTCATTCTAGTAATTCTGAGCCTCCCATTACCACCATCCCCTGTTATCTATCCCCCAACTTATTCAACAGATCCTCCCCATGCCCCATCAAGAGCAGTTTCTATATTAAAGCACTGGAGGGAATGGAATATGATATTCTGGAAGGCAAAGGAGTTGGAATTAAAACCAAGAATCACCTACCCAACAGAACTTAATATAATCTTTCAGGAAAAAAATGGATATTCAATGAAATAGAAGACTTTCAAGCATTCCTAGTGAAAAAACTAGAGCTGAATAGAAATGTTGACTTTCAAATACAAAACTCAAGAGATGCATTAAAAGGTAAACAGAAAGAGAAATCATAAGGATTTCAATAAAGCTAAATTGCATATATTCCTACATGGGAAAATGATACTGGAATTCCTAAAAACATTCTCATTACTAGGGCAGTTGGAATGAGTATACATAGACAGAGGGCATAGATGTGAATTGAATATGATCAGATGATTATCTAAAAAAATAAAATTAAGGGGTGAGAAAGAGGAATGCACTAGAAGGAGAAAGAGAGAGGTAGGATAGGGTAGAATTTTTACAATGGATGGGAAGATTTGGGAAGTGGCTGGGGTGTAAGAACCTTACTCTCATTGGAATTGGCTCAAAGAGGGAATAACCTACACACTCAGTTGGTATAACAATCTATCTTACACTACAGCAGAGTAGGAGGGGAAGAGGAAAAGAGAAGGCGGGGTGGTTGTAGAAGGGAGGGTAGATTGGGGTAGGTAAAAGACAGAAACAAAACACTTTTGAGGATGGTCAGGGTGAAAAGAAATTTAGAGTAGGAAAAACAGGGGTGGGGGAATATAATGGAGGTATGGTGTTTAAAAAGTTGTAGAGACATAGTTTCTCAGTAATTTAATGATTTTATTAATAATGTCAGCATTTTAAATAAAAGGTCAGTGGCACTCTCAAATGCCAAAGACTATCATGGCTGTGGGCTCACAACTTCTATTTCCTTGGAAGAGGGGTGTTCCTGAGGGTTGTAATCAATTCTGTTTAACAATTAGTGAGAAAATGAATATTACAATGAGGAGCTGGACTTATTCTAATGAACTTTGATTATGTCATTTACTTCTAAGTTGCCCCCAGCCTTGAGCAATCTAAACAAAGAATCTATATTTCCCACCCAAGAGTGAACAGAAGGGAGTTTCACCTCAGATTAGAAGTCTGATCTAGTTGGGTGAAGTAGCAATACCCAGAATGAGGAGAATGTTAATCCTGTCTTCCATCAGCCCTGTTGTGGAGAGATTGGACAAGGAAATAGGACAGGGGAAAAAAGCTTAGGTCTCCCCAATTTTAATAATCGGCTATTAATATGTGAGAGAAATAATTATTTCTCTCAGAGGGAAGTACACAGTAATCATAACTATGAAAAAATTTTGTGGCAAATTTCTTTAACAAAGACCTCACTTCTCAAATATATAAAGAATGGAGTCAAATTTATAGAAATAAGAGTCATTTCTCAATTGATAAATAGTCAAAGGATATGAACAGGTGGTTTTCAGACAAAGAAATCAAAGTTATCTATAATCATATAAAAATACTCTTAATCACTCTAGATTAAAGAAATGCAAATTAAACCACTCTGAACTACCATCCCACACCTATCAAATTGGCTAATATGACATAAAAGGAAAATGACATATGTTGAAGTGGATGCAGTGGATGCAGATGTGACATTAATACACTGTTGGTGAGCTGTTTACTGATTCAACCATTCCGTAGAGCAATTTGGAGCTATACTCAAAGGGTTATGAAACCATGCATACCCTTTGACCAAATAATACCACTATTAGAAATGCATCCCAAAGAGATAAAAAAACAAAAAGAAAAAGAAAAAAAGTCCTATACATACAAAATATTTACAACAGTCCTTTTAATGGTGGCAAAGAATTGGAAATTGAGGGGATGACCATCATTTGGGGAATGACCAAATAAGATGTTGTATGTGATCGTGATGGAATACTATTGTACTATAAGAAATGGCGAGTGGGAAGCTCTTATAAAAACCTAGAAAGACATACAGAAACTGATGCAAACCTTGTACATGGTAACAGCAATATTGTATGATGACCAACTATAAATGATTTAACTATTCTCAGCAATGCAATGATCCATGACAATTCCAAAGGACTTATGATGAAAAAAATGCTATCCATCTCCAGAGAAAGAATTGGAGTCTGAATGCAGATTGAAGCATACATTTTTTTTTGCTTTCTTTGTCTTTCTTTTTTTTTATCTGTGTTTTCCTTTACAACATGAATGACATGGAAAAATGTTTTTCATGACTGCACATGTAATGCCTATATCAATTTGCTTGCCTTCTCAATGGGGGAGGTGGTGGCAGG